GGACGCTCTCGCCGGCTGCGGCTGCGACGGCTGCGGGCGCTTTAAAAAAAAGATTCAAAGCCGCGGAAAACTTTATTGAGAGCCTGACGCGCAACAGCAGCGTGCGAGAGCCTAGACAGGGCAGAATTGCGCCCCTGCCCCCGCTATGTTTATTGGTAGAAGGCGCGGCCGGGGGCGGGCACGGAGCTCGCGACCCGTGATGATTGGCCAGTGGTGGCAGGGGCGGGGCGTCCTTGGGATTCCGGAAGTGAGCGCCGGGGCGCACAGGGTCTTTGGCGAGTCCTATCCGCCATTCATTTCTCCGTGTGCGGAAGGTCGGGGCTCCCATAGCCTTTGCAGGAGGATGGTCTCGCCAGAACTGACCGCCTGGGCGAGCTGAGCATCCGTAGTGCCGAGCACAGCCCAAGTACAAGGAACCGGCGGGCCCCTTCGGCCTGCGGTGCAGGGCTTACGGGTACCGGGAGATCAGACCTGCGGCAGCTGCCGGCGCACCCTCTCCTGTCCTCATCTCATCTCTCTTAGTCCTTAAATTTACTTTAAAAATCTGTTCGTTTGTTTGTTTGTCTTTTTGAGACAGGGTCTCACTATGCAGTTCAAGCTGTCCTTGAATTCACTTTGTAGCCCAGGCTGGCCTCGAACTCGCAGCAGTCCTCCTGCCTCAGCCTCCCGAGTGCTGGGATTACAGGCGTGCGCCACCACGCCCGGCCAAAAATCTGTTTTAAACCCTAACCCTGGGCTGCATAGCGAGACCCTGTCTCAGAAAAAAAAAAAAAATCTATTTCAAGTTGTCCAACTTCTGTTTTGTGGAGCACATATTCTCATGTCCATCTGTGGCCCTCTGCTAGTGGCTGTGGCCCGCCCCGCGGTGTTACCCAGGGGTCCTAGAGGAGCCGCCATCAGCGAGATGAGGGTCACACGTGGACGGGGAAGAAAGAGCCACGGAGTGGGACGTTACTTCCAGAGGCCCCTTTGGAAGGCTTTCAACACTGGAGTGACCTGTCCGGCTCTTGCTTTGCTGCGGCGCTGGGAAGGGGACCCAGGGCCTTACGCGGAGCACACACTTCGCTGCCGACACACGCCCCAGCCCTGGGTTTCTGTCTAAAAGGTTTTGGATCTGACTGAGCTGGTGGGAGGGCAGCCAGGTGGAGAAGAAAGGGGACTCAGGAAAACCTTAGCAACAGCATCCTGGTGCTGGTTTCCAGGGCGTGGGCCTTCTGTCTCCTGTGGAGCCCTGCCTGGTGGGTGACATTTGTTGCTCCTGCCGGGCCCCTGGGGTGAGCGACCCGCATCTGCTGGGCTGGAGCAGACAGGGCTTGAGGCAGGGAAGATGCAAGCTGAGTCACCAAGGGGGCACCAGTCACTGCTGGGCCGAGCCTCTCCCTGCCCCGGCCCGTCTCCCCGCTGCGGACGCCCAAGGGCCTCTGTAGCTGTGAGGGGACACGAGCCCAGGCTGGGGTCCTCCTGCTGGGGGAGAGTCAAGGCCTGCCTGAAACCCAAGGCGAGGCCCTGTGTCAAAACAGAACAAGGATGCCAGCTAGACTCGATCAGGGCGACTCTAATGACCTCACTTACCCTGGTCAGCTCTAAGTTAGGGTGTGGGGCTGAGGTTCCTAGTGTTGGAAGCTGAATCCAGAACTCACAGTTGCCCAGCGCTGCGGCAGGGGTAGAGGGTTCTCTTCACTCATAGAAGCCCCAACAGTTTGGTTTCTTGGGGACTCTGTGTGGCACAGGCTGGCCTGGAACCCACCGCGAACCTTCTGCCTCAGCCTCCCAAGTGCTGGGAATACAGGCGTGCGCCACCTCCCCGCCTCCAAGGCCCTTGTTCTAAATCAGACCTGTGACTGGGGCAGCAGTGGGGAGGGAGGGCAGCCAGCCAGGCGACCTTCGCAGGCCCTGGCCATGAGTGGTGGGCATGGGGTGCTCCAGGCTGGGCTCCCTGGCCCCCGAGGAGCTGCGGGAGCTGCCTGGCTCCTGTGGCTCCCAGTGGCCACATCAGCGAACCTCGGGAGGGGTCCAGGTGCTGAGATGCCCCCCCAAGGGGCAGCTGTCCATTCTCGGGTCCTGCCGTGGCCATCAGGACAGGACAGTTTGGGCCGTGCTGGCTCGGCCCAGCCCTCTGTGGGGTAGCTCCTCGCACCTCACCAAGGAGCTCTGGGGCCCCACTGACGCCCACCCTTGGGGAGCCAGCACCCCCGGGAGCACTGAGGTGGGGGCGCTCACTAGGGAAGAAGAGCCCAGAGGACAGACAGGCGCCCAGCAAGGTGGTGCAGGGTGGGCCCTTCCTGCCTCAGCCTCCCGCCTTGGCATGGCCTTGCACTGTGTGGTGCTGCTGAAGCCAGGGACACAGACGGGTCCCACAGTCCCCAGGGCTGTGCTGTGCAGTCCGGGGGAGGAGCGGCTGAGGCGGCAGGGCTGGCACCAGGGGGCGCCCGGGACAGGGAACCAGTGAAGCCCAGGAGATGGGTTTAGCAGAGGCGACCTGCAAGGTTGCACTGCTGGATGGACAGATGAAGGGACCGATGGCTGTCCCAGACCCCACCCTGCTCAGCACCTGGAGGAGGGGTCCCTGCAGAGGCTTGGCCCTCAGTGGGTTGCAGATAAAGGTGAGACTAGCATACTGCAGGCTGGGGATGGAACCCCAGGCCTTCCTTCACACTGAGCTACATCCTCAGCTCTTTTTAGTTTTCATTTTGAGACAGAGTCTTGCTAAGTCTAAATTGCTCAGACTGGACTAGAAGTCGTAATCCTCCTGCCTCAGCCTCCCAGAGTGCCGGGATTACGGGCGTGGGCCACCACTCCTGGCGAACAGCTTTTGGTGGAAGAGCATAACTCATGAAGGAAAAGACAAACGAATTCGACATTAAACTTCTGTAAAGCTTCCCTGTGACAAGACAAACCGTCACCCGAGCAACAGCAAAGCCGCTGAACGGAGGTTTGCACCACGCATCGCTCGCGGTCTGTGGGGCACGGGATCTATCCGAGAACTCGGGGAGAGCGTCTGCATTAGCAAAGGAGGGTGACGTCGCGCAGCGGAAGGTCAGTGAGGGAGCCGCATGTGATGGCTCGAATCCCTGCTTGACCCTGTGTTAATTAAGTAATTACTCTGCTTGAGGCATTTTTTTTTTTGATACCAGGAATTGAACCTCGGGCCTTGGTAAGTCGAGGCACAGACTGGAAGGGCAGTGCCTTGGAGATTCAGTGCATGGACATAAGAGTCCTCGGCGGAGCCAGCGTCAGACCAGATGCTGACCCTCGGGGAGGCAAGGCTCTGAAGACGCTTGTTAGCCAAGGTGGGATGGGGCCGCCCCAGACAGCTGTGCGGGTTTGCAGCTGCCTCACTCGGGGCCTCCCAGCGTCACACCCGAAGGACTGGGAAAGCTCAGGCCGAGGTGCCGCCTTCTGGCCTTGATGCGTCCCACGACTCTCGCTTTTCTGGGCCGGCCGCTGTGAGCCTGAGAGGTTTCGTGGCCTGGGAGGGTCACCTGGGCCTGGCTTGTGGCTGCCCAAGCCCCTCCGGTGGGCTGCAGCTGCAAGATGCCCCTGAAGGAGTGTGGCAGAGCTCAGGGCAGCCCCACGGTCACCTGTGTCACCTGCCCTGGGGTGTCAGGTCTTTCAATGGTTGCTGGGCTCCACTAGTGACGCCGGCTGGCCCACGGTCTTGCTGTGTGGGAAATTCCTTTCATGACTAACGCATGCACTTCTTTGCTATAAGTCTGCTCAGATTTTCTATTTATTATCTTTCTTTGTCTTTTTGAGACAGGGTCTCGCTGTGCAGTTCAGGCTGGCCTTGAGCTCACTTTGTAGCCCAGGCTGGTCTCAAACTCACAAGGATCCTCCTGCCTCAGCCTCCCGAATGCTGGGATTACAGGCGTGCACCACCACACTTGGTGAGTATTTTATAAAGGATATTTTCGCCCATATTCATACATGAGATTGGTTCTAGTTCTCAGTTGGCTGTTTTTGCACATTTGTATCAACAGTGCTTTCTTCATGACAATGATTGGCAGGTCTTGTTCTTCTAAACTCTGGAATGGCTTAAGTCTCCTTCAGAATATTTGTCCCTTTATGTTTTTTGAAGAATTTCTTGTGAAAGCCTTTTGGGACTGGTACTGTCCGCACTCTGTCTCTTTAGTGATAATGGATGTTTACGTCTTTCTCTCTTTTTGGGTCAGTTCCAGTGTGTTTTACAGAGAAACGACACTCAGATAAAACAACGAAGAGAACAGAAGCTGAGCAGGTCGATCACGGGGGAGACGATGGACAGCAGTTCCGTCTGAAATTGGCGTTCTTTAACTACGGTCATGAACACATTCTGCCAGTTTCCAAGGGTTAGACAACTCTACTCCATTGTTTAAATTTTTGATGCAAGTAATAGATTTCTGCCACGCATGGTGGCGCACGCCTGTAATCCTAGCACTTGGGAGGCTGAGGCAGGAGGATTGCTGCATGTTCAAGACCAGCCTGGGCTACAAAGTGAGTTCCCGGCCAGGCTGAACTGCATAACAAGACCCTGTCTCAAGAAACAAACAAACAAAAAACCCAGCGCACCCCCAAACAAATGAACCAAACAACAGCAACAAAAGAAGCACCGATGTGAAGTGTGGGTCATCTCTCCCTGTCTCCCTCTGGAACTGAACTGGGTGTGGCACAGTGTGCTGTGTGTCACTGCATGTCTGTTCCCATGTGCACAGGTGCACACACACACACACTGCCGTCGCTTGGCGCCCCGGGGCACCGTCCAGGGCCCCTGTAGACCCTGAAGTCTCCAGATCCTCAAATCCCGCTGTAAAATCTTGCCGTGTTCCATGTAACCTCACGCATGCTCCCACTTTTTTTACATCATCTCGAGATTACTCACAGTACCTACTACCAGCCAGCACTCCTGCCTCAGCCTCCCGTCACCGATGTGTCCGAGGAGTCACCGGAGTCCCTGACTGCATCGCTGCAGTCACAGGTGTGGAACAAGAGCCGCAGTTGATAGAGTCTTTTCTTCCCGGCGGTTGGAACGTTAGAGGTTTTTTTAGTTCCTTTTCCCAGAGCAGAAGCGATACCCGTTTTGGCACGAGTGTTAGTGAGTGGAGGCTGTGACGCTGGCGTGAGGGCGGTGGACTCACGTGATGCGGCTGGCACTGTTTATGCACAGCTCAAGGGTCCCCTTGACCCAAAGGTCCTACAGCTACGCATTTGTGTTAAGAAGGAAAATAAAGGAGTTCGCATCAGAGCAAAATTTATAAATAGCAATGAACTGGTCAAAACCGGCTTTTAGGAGCTTATGCAAAACATGCTCTTAAATCTTTTTGGTTTGCTGTGGTACCAGAAATGGAACCCAGGGGCCTTGCACGTGCTAAGTAAGTGCTCTACCACTGAGCTACATCCCTGATGCTTTTTATGCCTGAGACAAGAGCTCTTTAAGTCACCCGATCTGGCCTTAAGCCTGAGACCCTCCTGCCTCAGCCCCTCAACTTGCTGCCACTCTTAGCCAAAAGAAAGAAAGATAGCCCAGCATGGTGGCACATGCCTGTAATGGCAGCACTCAAAAGGCTGAGGCAGGAGGATCATTGGGAGTTCGAGACCAGCCTGAGCTACAAAGTGAGCTCAAGGCCAGCCTGAACTGCATAGTGAGACTCTGTCTAAAAAAGACAAACAAACAAACAAAAAAAGATAGATTTTTGTTTGTTTTTTGAGATAGCGTCTCGGCACGTAGTTCAGGCTGGTCTTGAACTCACTATGTAGCCTGAGCTGGCCTCAAATTTACAGCAATCCTCCTGGCCCAGCCTCCCAAATGCTGGGATTACAGGTGGCTACCAAAAACATATTTTTTTAAAATTGAAAAAGTGATTTACAAAACAGTAGGAGCCACTGTTCTAAGTATCTGTCTCTATCTACCTATCATCTACGTGCCTGTATGAAAATTAAAGCTCAAAGGCTGTATGCCAAAGTGGATGTGAAAAATTACCTGGGCAGAAAGGTTTATGGATTTGTTCTTCTTGATACCAGGAATCGAACTCAGGACCTTGTGCTTGCCAGGCAGGGCCTGTGCCGCTGAGCTATATCCCCGGCCCGTGTGGATTTGTTTTGTTTGCCTGTGTTTTCTACAATTTACAGGACGTTTCTGCAGCTGAAGAAGCGTTTAAGTGGCATTCTGGGTGACAAGAAGGAATAGGGGCGGCCACGGGGCCTGAGCACGAGCAGCCCGCTCACCAAGTCCGGCGGTGTGCGCTGCGCGGGGCACTGTGGCTCACGTCCCGGGCCGCTCAGTGCTGGGCCGGCCGTGCCGCGGTCAGAAAGGAGGAAGGAGGGGGAGAAAGGCCGCGTCGCGCGGGGCCACGCGCCCCCAGCAGCCGCTCAGTGCCGCGGCCGAACGCGGAGGCCGAGGCAGGAACCCGTCTCCAGGGCACACAGGTGAGGCGTCCGACGGGGGCCGGGCTAGCAGGCCTCCCCCCACCCCGGCCGGCGTTCCTCCTCTTCCCCTTCCCTTCCCTCTCCCCCTCCATCCGTTTCTCTCCCTCTCTCTTCTTTCTTCCCAGCCCTGGAGATGGAACCCAGGCTGCTCCAGCACTGAGCTACATCCCCAGGCCTTTGACTGTGTTTTTCAGTTTGAGACAGGGTCTCACTAAACTGCCCTGGTGGGACTTGAACTTGTGATCCTCCTGCCTCAGCCTCCATCAGTGCTGGACCACAGGTGTGGGCCCTCAGCCGCGCTGAAAGGGGGAACAAACAGGTGTCCTGCCTGTTTCTTCTCTCAAGGGGAGGAGCAGAGCGCCCCACGCCTTCCCCGGGGGCAGGCGGGAGCCAGCGTGGTGGCCCCAGGGGGGCTGGGCAGGAAGGGAGGGTCCTGCGGGGGACGCCACCCCACAGCCCCGCAGAGCCGCCAGCCCGGGGCCCCATCCCCTCCCTTCTCCTCTCTCTCCCCTCCCCTCCCCCTCTCTCCCTCCTCCTCCTCCTCCTCCTCAGTCCCGAGTTCCTCATTGTTCTCTGTCCTGGGCCAGACAGACCTGGATCCAGCATCCACGTGGGGACACTGGGCAGTGCTTTCACCTCTCTTACCTCAGTGTCCCTACCTGTGAAATGGGCATGACCTCGAGGAAGCCCGGGAGAGCAGAGGAGGCAAGGTGTGCAGCTGTGGATGGAGCCCCCCCCCTTCCTTGCTCCCTTCTGCCTGGCCCACCCCGGGTGGCCCCTGGGCAGCTCCTGCCCTGCACAGCCGCCCCTGCCCCACCCCCCGGCTGTTTCTGCCAGCCTTGCTTGGCTCCTGAGCTTTTTCTTTTATGCTGGAAACTGAACCCAGGACCTTGCATTTATCCACATTCCCAGTGCTTTCTATTTCTTGTCTCCTGATAGAGTCTCACTAAATTCATAAATTGTCTGGGCTGCACTCAGACTTGGTATCCTTCTGCCTCAGCTTCCCAGACTGCTGGGATAACACCGTGTGCCAGCATGCCTGGCTTGGAATTGCTTGCTGTGAGGTGAGGGTGCCAGGTGAGGGTGCCAGGTGAGGCCCCAAGTGGCCTCCTTGGGGCCACACCTTGGACTTGGTGGGCAGGTGTGGGGCTGCAGGTGTCACTGTGAGCTACCCCCCTGCCGTCGGAGGAGGCCTCCAGCCCTGCAGCCTCCTGGGGGCTCCCTTGGGCGGCTCTGCCCAGCTGGGCAGGTCAGCTGGAAGGAACAGTATGACAGCGGCACCGAAGATCGCTCCCTGGTATCCATTGTATTTTTTTTTTTTTTGGTACCAGTAATCAAACTCACGACCTTGCACTTTCCAGGCAGGCCTGTGCCACTGAGCTATATATCCCCAGCCCCTCCATTGTATTTTTGAGACAGGGTCTTGCTGTGTAGCCCAGGCTGGCCTTGAACTCATGGCGACCCTCCTGCCTCAGCGTCCCCAGTGCTGGGAGGACAGGCATGCGCCGCTGCGCCCGGTCCCGAATACCCTTGCCCTCCACTGGGCCGTGGGTCCCCTCCCCGTGCATCCCCGGACAGCTGTGTCCACCACACAGAGCAGCGTGTCTCAGCCTCTTCTGCTCCAAGGGTCCCGGCCTGTCCGCCGCATCTGGCCCTTCGGAGGTGCGCTGGCCCTTGGAGAAGCTTGACTGGGGCCCTGGATGGGGCGGTGACTCACGCTGTCACCTCCCCAGGCCGTTACCAGACAGAAAAAGAAAAGGGAGTCAGGACCCAGCCCCCTCGCCCTTGTCTGGCCCGGGGCCTCTGGACCACGCCTCGGCCGTCTCCTGCCGGAACTCCGGTGCAGTGTGACCGACCTGGGGCCGCGTTTCCACCCACACTGACACGGTGATCACCTCGCTTTCCTGTTTCGAAATCCGCCTTCTCCAGTGAACTCTGTCTGTGCACGAGGTCCCCGGCCCGGGCCAGGAGCCTCCTTGTCCCGGGATTTAATGGAATCCAGATCCCCTGGCGTCTCCAGAACGCTCCGTAAACAGCCCCGGGTCAAGCTGGGTCTCCCTACTCCCGCCCTGGGGATAAACTCCTAGGAGGGAGAAGTGCTGCGAATGAACACTTACCGCTTTAGGGGTGGAGGGTCACGGTCACCCCCTTCAAGGTCCAGCCGCTCGCTGTGTTGTCAGGAACAGCATTTCTCCAGCTGTCCCCACAGACCGACCGCCACCCGTCACTAACGTGCAGACTTTCTTCCAACCCCTGGAAAACCGGCAGTGGTCGGTGTTTACATACGTGTACGTGCAGTCCAGAGGACGGGCAGAAACACTGTCAGTCTCCCAACAGCTCCGGCTGTCCTTGGGCTGAGATGACGGAGGAGCAGGAGGTGACAGGGTCCCCAGGCCCTGGTGAGGGGTCAGGAGATGCCTGCAGACCCCTTCTCCTGCTAAGATCGGCATGAAAATCGCACCTCTCCCCGGGTCGAGGTCTTGGCCCAGACACCCCTCCCCCGCAGGCTTTCTTCCTGAGTAGCAACAAGCTCTGTGCCTATCTCTGTCCTGGGCTGCGAGGCTTTCACCACCCGTGGCACCGTCCTAGCTCCTGCTGCCCTCACACTCGGAAGGGTGCATCCGGACTCCTCCTCCAGGAAGGCCTCCAGGTTTTCAGGCTCCAAGGCCTGAGAGGTGGATGTGTTGGTACCCTGAGCCCCCAGCTCCCTCTGCGCTGGCGCTGTGCCCCCTCCTGCCCCGAGGCTGCCCCGCCCTGCTGGGGGATTGAAGATGACCTCAATCAGAGGCTCTACCCTGTGCTCATTCATTCAGACAGCCTTGGGGCCAGCAGCAGACCCGGCCAACCCTACTTCCAGAGCCACACTCCCTAGTTTTCTTTTGCCATTTTTGGATTCTGTGACTTTCAACTGATTTTCTTCGCTGTGGATTTCCATGAGGAGAGCTGGCCAGGTCTAATTCTTACAATTCCCGCTGTCCAGGCCTCCTGGGCCTCCCAGGGCCTCTGTCCTGCGTGTTGGGCTTCCCCGGGGATTTCCCAGGCCTACCGCTTCGCTTCCGGTCCTGAAGTGGGCTGTACCGTGGGTGAGGGTCTCGGATGACCCTGGAGCACACAGTGCACACGGGCACCCTCCCTACCACCCTGTCCCCGCCAGAAGTCCCCACGATGTGAAGAGGGCCTCTGCAGGGAGGAGCCTGTGTCCCCTGCCCTGTCCTCCCTCCCGGTGATACATTATGTCTGACCAGGAAAAAACATTGGGAGCATCCTTTTAATCACGACTACAAACACATCACAGACACATCTACGGGGTGTGCAGTCGGTGGAGCGCGGGACGCGGTGGGGGTCAGCAGCATAGGAGGCTGTGGGGTCAGCAGCACACGGGGACCGGGGCGGGCAGGGAGGCGAGCAGGGGTTGCGTCCTCCAGCCGGGGCAGCCAGGGTGACGCCCGAGCCCCACGGGCCGCTCGAGTCCTGTGGGCTCCCTGCAGCTGGCTGGCCGTCGCCCTGGGGTGGCCGGGCCGGGCCCGCACGTGTCCTCCCGGCTACACGATGCTCTCAGTGCGCTTGCCCCTCCACACCACCAGCGCCGTCACGAGCAGGGTCACCGTGATGGGGACCACGACGAAGGGGCAGAGGATGGTGCGGGGCGGGTCCCCCAGGGCCCGGCCGGAGGCGGCGCAGCTGCGGAAGTAGTGCCGGTGGACGGCCACGAAGAACCTGTCCACCTCCACGCTGGGCCAGAAGCAGCCGAGCCGCTCCGCCAGGTTCCGGGTGCAGTCGGTGAGCTGCCCGTAGCTCCTGCAGGGCAGAAGGAGGTGTCAGGGCCCAGCAGGGGTGCGGCCTGTGCCCGGGCAGGGGCCCCTGCAGCCTGGGATGTGGGGGTCTGTCGCTCTGGCACACGCTCCCCGGTGTCCTGCACCCAAGGGCACTAAGGGTCAGGAGCCCTGGCACAGGACTGAGCCAGGGGCACCAGGCTGTGCCCTGGACCTGCTCAAATCCCTGCTGTAGGCGACAGTGGAGAGCCTACAGGTCCCTCCCCATCAGACCCTCCTGGACTGCTGCGGGACACAGGGCCCAGGCCATCCCTGGGCGACAGGTGACGTGGGGGGAGTGGGTGCCTTCCCAGGGTGGCAGTGTGCACACGTGCGTATGTGTTGTCCTGTGTGTTGTGTCACTGTCTGTGTGTGACTGCATGTGACCTGTCCTTGGCGCAGGCTGTGGGTGCTGTTGCCCGCAGCAGGGCAGGGGTGGCGGCCGGGGCCAGTGGCAGTGTCTTCCAGGGAGCCGGGCAGGCCGGTGAGCCCACCCCGCCGGGCTGAGGTCTGCCCTAGCACCCGAGGGCTGGGAGGTGGGTGGCCCTCCCCAGGGCCTTTCCAACCTACAGACGCTGGGCCCGATTGCCTTCACAAAGCGGAGTGAGGCCACCAGCCGATCACGACTACAAACTGCCCCTGGCCCTGCTCCACGTCCCCTTCCTGGTGATTACGTGGGAATCTAATGTCCCTGTAGCACAGAGGACACTGAACCCAGGGTGCCTGGATCTGTCAGTCCCAAACCACCTCCCTGGCCTCTTACTGGACACGACAGCCGTGGACTCACGACAGAGGACCTTCATGGGGTGGGAGGCACAGGCTGTTTTCAGAGGCTGAAGGCTGCATGGGGGTCTTGGTGGCACTTTACCAGTGTCCCTGGTTCTTTTCTCTCGTGTTTTGGTTTTTTGAGACACGTTGTGCCTATGTTATCCAGGCTGGCCTTGAACTCACAGCGATCCTGCTGTCTCAGCCTCCCTAGTGCTGGGGTTGCAGGGTGCACCGCCATGCTGGGCTAACCAATGGCGGCGTGCCTGGCCCAGGACCCTCAGGTAGGGCTGCAACTTTCCAGGAGAGCTGGCTTCAGCTGGCCCTCCCCGTCTAGGCCCAGATACCCCGGTGGGAGCCGAGGCCACAGGTGAGCAGCCCCTGCTCTTCCAGGGCCACCAGCTCCCCCCACACACGGTCCTCACAGGCTCCACCCTGGCTGGGGGGCATCCAGAGCAGCAGCCCCTCAGGCAGGTGGGTGTCACACTGTGTGCTTGAACACACCCCTCCCTGTTGGGTGGGGCACTCAGGACTGGTGGAGGTCAAAGTCCAACGTCCTACAGGATGGCCGGCCACTGTGTGGTCTCTCTGCTAACCTGAGCAAGGGCTATGTCATTTCCAGAAGCGGAGCTGGGGCAGGTGTGGTGGTGCGCGCCTGCAATCCTGGCACTCAGCAGGCTGAGGCAGGAGGATCACTGAGAGTTCCAGGCCAGCCTGGGTTATACAGAGACCCGGTCTCAAATAAACAAACCAAAGTGTGGATGTGTGGATGTATGTGTGTGTGTGTGTGGTGTGTGGTGTGTGTGGTTTCTTCCCCAGCACCACAAAGAAACAACTAGGTGAATCAGCACAGCCTCCATGAGATGTGGAAGCAGCAGAGCTCCCCACAAAAAGAAACATCCCAAGATACGGGCTAAGACCTCTGCCCTCGTGCATGTGTGAAGCTCAAAGAACCCCAGACAGGACGAGCACAGAGTCCCAGCAACGACAAACAACTACAAAGACACAGCGAGGCCAAACCACTGGAAAACTGCAGAAACATCTAAAAGTCACTCAGAAGAAAAAGAAAGACCACATAGCAAACAACCGAGGAGAGACAGCGCCCTCTTATCCAAGATCAGGAGCCCCACGAGGGCTGCACCCCAGCAGGCGGCCTGGAGTCTGGTGCCTGGAGAAACAGCCTCCACAGGGGAGGACCAAGTCAAGATCGCCCCAGAAAAAAGAAGCAGAGAGGCATCGCCAGCCAGCACGTGTGTGCTGCAGGGATGTTAGGGTTCTTCACCAGGACAAGATTCCAGGAAGAATCTCTTTCTGAGATAGCTGTGTAGCCCAAGCCGGCCTGGAGCTCAGGTGACTCTCCTGCCTCAGCCTCGTGAGTGCTGGGATTATAGGCATGAGCCCCACACCCGGCATCCAGGAAGGATTTTAGATCTAGCATGAAGAGCTCTAGAAATGGTAAACAAGGAAGATAGAAGTTGTATTTTCTTATTTTTAACCTAGAAAGTGGGCCAGTGGAGCAAGGCCATAAATCAACTGTGAGGAGCCCCGGGGGCCTCAGCGACATGCCCACCATGGCCCTGTCGTGTGGCCTGTACATGGCACAGCCACTGTTTCTTCCAAGGGCTGCTGCAGGCCACCACCACATGCACGTGCCTCGCAGTCACCACCAGGCCTGGGGCTCCCTCAGCCCCTTGCATGGCCACGTGCATGTGACAAGAGGCCAGCACAGGGCTTGTGGCTGTCCCCACCCACGCGTGCTCTTCCCCAGCCAGCTCCACTTCAAGCCGCAAGAAGTGGGAGAAGCCCCAGGAAGCGGGACAGGCCTGCGCACAGAGCAGTGGCCCCTGGTGGTCAGCCAGGGGACAGCACTGGCTGGAACGACTCCGCTGCGACCCGCTGCATCCAGGGGCTGGACATTTTTGGAGGGGGTTCCAGCCCTGGGCTGGCCACAGTCACCGAGCCAGGAGGCCCCAGCACCCCCGTCCCCTGGCCAGGCCCCGCAGAGGCTCCTTGGTATGTGGGCCTTTCCGTGGCCGCCACCCTCATCTAAAAATAGCCCAGTGTGGGTGCTGCCTTCCATCCTGCTGACGACACGGCACAGCTGACGCCTTCCCAGCTGCTGGCGCCCGGGGGGGGGGGGGGGGGGGGGAGGTGACGGCCCCAGGGGGGCAGCGGCAGCCTGGCCAGGGACTCAAAATAGCCCTGGACAGCGCTCCAGCTCGGAGGCGCTGGACTGTCTGTTCTGGGCAGCCGCTCGCCGCCCTTTGGGGCAAGGACTTTCTGCTCTGCACCCACCTGCGGCAGGCGTGGGAGGACCCTGCACACACGTGGAGAGCCATGCCTGCGCTCCAGGGCTCTCAGCTTCCCTGTATCTGCCCCAGGCCCGCACCAGCCTGGGTCCAGCTCTTACCCGCGTGGCCAGGGGCTTTCTGTCCCCTTGGTACCTCACTCTCCTTCCATGAAAATGAAGACACAGGTGCCCCACAGATTACAGGGCAGATCGTGGTAAACCAGGTGAAGGCCTGACAGAGAACAGGCACCCAGCTGCGTGTGCTGGCCCATACCCGTAATCCCAGCACCGGGAAAGCTGAGGCAGGAGGATTGCTAGGAGTCTGAGGCCAGCTTCGGTTATACAGTGAGACGCTACTTCAAAAAAACAAAACCAAACCAAAAGATCAGGCAGCCAGGCCCGGAAGTTGCCTCCTTCCTCTGCCTGAAGGCTGATGGGGGGCTCATGGGCACACATTTCATCCTGTAAGTCAGACAGCGCGGCCCAGGACGTGGGTCCAAATCTGCAGATCTAGGAGGAACTGCTTAGGGGGTCGGGCCCACCTTCTCAGAGTGCCTCCACCTGCCATGGACAGGTCACAGCCTTGTGGCTGCTGACAGCGTCCACTACCTCCAGGGTCCCGTCTGCCCGCAGGCTGCCAAGTGCGTGTGGCCCAGCAGGAATGTGTGATGGGGTTGCCACGTGTGGGGAGGCCTCGGGCCTGGGGCTCAGTGTCCTCCGGAAGCATAGATGGCTACTGAGCACCTGAAACAAGGCCTGAGCCTCGAGAATGAGCAGAGAGGAAGAAGGAAAGGAGGAAATTTGAGCACATGGGCCGCTGCCTGCCTGGCCCCGTGCCAGTGCTGGTGATGCCAGCAGGAAAAGTTTGGCAACGTGTACAGCGACCTCCATGCCTTCATGAGCTCCACAGCCCACAGCCCCTCCAGAACCCTGACTCTGCTTCCGGAAACTGTCCTGTGAAAAGCTCTGCATGCCTCAGGTTGTGTGCATGCACCTGTCACCCCAGCACTCTGGGAGGCTGAGGCAGGAGGATCGAGGCCTGAGCTAGCCTGGGCAGCCTAGCAACTTAGTGAGAGCCTTGCTCAAAACAAACAATGAAAAAGGGCTGGGGCTGCAGTGTGAAGGTCCTGGGTTGGATGCCCAATACCAGCAAAAAAGTTAAATACAGACAGAAGTCATGCAGGAAGGCACTCATCGCAGACTCAGGGCTCCGACAGACAACAGACACCAGGAGGCTGGAAAAGAATTTCTAAGAGGCGCTGGTATGAAGCCCCGGGGGACACTTCGGAAGGAATTTAGGATGTGGGCAGAAAAGTACGCTATGATGCTGAGGAAGAGCAGCAGCCCCGAGACCCAGTTACGGACGCCCTGCGGCTCGGGCACAAACGGGCGGGGCGGGGGCGGGGCCTCGGCGGCGGGGGCGGGGCGCCTCTCACCCGCGGGGAGGGATGGGCTGTGCCCAGCTCTACTTTCATTTTGAATTTCTCAAGCTTTCTACAGGGAGCATTTGCCATTTTTATAATTCTATAAGAAAGCTCATGTTAGGGCTGGGCAGGATGGTGCACGCCTGTAATTCCGGAACTCAGAAGGCTGAGACAGGAGGGTCACTGCAAATTCAAGGCCAGCCTGGACTACACAGCGAGACCCTGTCTCTAAATAAATAGATAAAATTTTAAAAACCTCATTTTAGGAAGAAAGCCCCACAGAAAGCACAGGGCCACAGCCCAACCTGGGGGCAGCTGCCCCTTCCTGCTGCTGGAACCCTGAGGTCTCCGAGGCTCCCTGGGCGGCCCCGCGGGCTGGGCAGGACCCACTCCCTGGCTCTCTGCCTGCTTGCACCCCAGGCCCGGGCTTGGAGAGGGTTCCTCCTGCCCCTCCCGGCTGGGACCCCCTCCCAACACAACCTGGAGGTCAAGCAGAGGAGAAGCAGC